TTTAGTTATATATATATATATATATATATATATATATATGGGAGTGTGTGAGAGTGATTTAGTAGGTATATTAATTCTCTTTTTATTATTACTAATATTTTTGAAAGGATCTTCCAGGTGGCAATATTAAATTATAATACTATACTTTAGAAAAATAAAATAGTAATGTTAAGCTACTTTGAACCTAAATGCTTTATGGCAAATGGTGATTAAATGAGCTCGTTTATTTATTCAACTGGCTCGAGCTCCTTTTTATAAAAAGTAAATTTTTATTTGATCACTTATATATCTATGTATATACACTCGAAAGTAATTGTTGAAGCAAATTTAATTGCTTACGATAATATTTGTGATTAAAGATCACTCCTTTATTTTAGGAATATCCTAAAGCTGCAATATAAAACAGGTCATGTTATTTTTTTAGTCTCTTGCTGAAGTAAGTCATATATGAAGAAAATTTCAATTTAATATCTCTCTTTTCCTTTTTTCTCCCTGTTGCGTAACCTAGTTTTTTTCATTGGTTGGGCTTTTTCTTCCATATTCTTGATGTCTCTTTTTTTACAAAAGCTGAAGAGTGGTGGTGTTTCCATAGATAATAATGCACCCCCGGATAGTGCAGGTGTAATTGTCAGAAAGCTCGAAAAAAATTATGTCAATGAACCTCTAGAAAATCTTGGTCTAACACTTAGTGATGATGCGGAAGTTTTGTTAGTCGCACCATCTTCGCCAGCAGGTATTTCGAATATTCCGACAAATTATATGCTATTTGAAGTCAACAATGAGTTTATTGAAAGCAAGGCACATTTTGAGGAAGTGGCAAATCGGAATTTGAATCTAGTGATGCGACTGCAATCTTTAGCAACCATGTCGGATCTGATTGCAAAAATATTGAGGGAGGAAGAGACCCATTCGAAGGAAGAAGTGCGACAAATTTTGAATTTGGATGAGCTCGTGCGAACAACTCCTCGATATAATTTTATGTCAAACAAGCATCCGCTGTTTCGCCGTTACACCGAGCGACTTGCTGCGAAACGCCAAGCCACTGAGTTGATAAAGCAAAGAACTCAGGAGGCTGAAGAACAGCAACGTAGAAAATTAAGGGAGAGAATGCGAAAAGAGCTAGAGGCATCGGAAGCTGAGGCACAACAGCAGGCAAAAGCAGAGTTAGAAAAGGCTTCCAAACAAGTGGAAGCTGCCCCAAAAGAGCCACCGCCGGAGGAACCTTTCCTTAAATCGTTTGAAGATGGAAGCTTTTTCGAGAAAAATGATGCGCCAGTAGAGGTGGTTGAGGAGAAAAATGAACCTGATGCTGAAATGAGTCCTGAATATGCTTCAGAGTTGCTTGCCCTTATAGGAGTATCTGAAGGCACAAAGGAGGAAACTATGCAGTGTTCTAGCGATCGCGAGGCTCATTATGTTATATTGCCATCAGAAGAATATATTCTTAGTAACGGGGAGAGGGTAATATGCAGCCTAAAGAAAAGGACAGGCCCTCTTCCGCTGCCACCTCCCGGTAAGCCCCCTAGAATAAACAAGTTCGCAAAAAAGTTGCAAACAGAGAAAGAAAAAAATAAACTATCGGTTCCGGAGGACAATAAGCGAGAATCACGAAGAGATTCCGCGCGTGACGGTAATCGTTCCACCACAAGGGAAAAAGACAAATCGGGTGGCCGTAGTCAACGCGAAAAAGATCATGGAAAGCGTAGAAGGGAGCGACCAAGAGATAGGAGGAGAAGGCAGCATAGAAGGTATGATGATAGCCAAGAGAAGAGCTCCAGACATCATCGCCGTTGAAGATGAGAAAAAAATATTCCATACTAAGGGGATTTCCTGTACTAAATATTAAACTTACTCTTAATTTATGTTAAACATGTAATTGTTACGCTCTGATTGTTTTAATCAGAAGAAACAAAAATATATAAAAAGTAATAATTAACTCTGACTTGGTTCAGTCAACTAACTAGATTATTGACTATTGCTTTTTGGGTAAAATTATTAAAAAATACTACCCCTTTCCTCCATTTGTTTTAGTACAAAAGCTGTGTTAACACAAAATATTTTTAAACTACAACAATAAATAAGGGATAGAGTGAAAATATTCAAGATGGCCGTACACACGATACCCAAATAGAAAAATATTTTATTGTAAAAAGGTCTGGGTGAAGTTTTTTTTTACAGGTTCAAAGCACATATTAGAAAATCAGCGCGTTGAAGATACATGACGATGTTAGGGTTGTCTGCCAATCAAGCTCTTTAAGGACTTTTCCTTCATTGTGGACAGGTGTAATGGCAAGCCATGTCTCGTGGCTACTACACCTTAGAAAATGTAGTTTTGTTCTCCAGAATACTGCACATTTTTCTTTGGATGCATAAAAAAATATTTTTCCTTACAAAATGAAGTCGCTATCACAACTCAGTTTCTATCTAAATACCTCTTCATTAAATATGCCTTTCAATTTTGTAAAATCAGATAGAAAGTTTCGTTGTGAAAACATAAGTGGTATAGTTTAAATATTATATCGCCTTGTGTCCTTTTAAGCTGTGTAGCTATATATCAATGTGCCAGAATACTACCTGAATTGGATTGGCTGTAAAAAGATCCAAATAGGCAGTAACTGGTTGTACTATCTCTCATATATTTATGCATATTCTACTTTTTACGATTTTGTTCTCCGTGTTGCGCCCCAATCAGTAAAACGGTAACAATTAATATCCTTAGCGTCATCTATTTTTTGAAATGACTATTTATACTTATTTTCTTTTCTGCTATTTTGCACTACTTCGTGCATTACACACAGACGAATTTTTTTAGTTCACCTTTTGGGAAATTAAATTGTTTATATCAGAAAAAGTGCATGTCATTCAAGAGTCTTTGATATTTAACCACATTATCTTGCCATCTTTTTTTGTATCACAGCTTGTTTTCTCGTTTTTTATCTGCGTGCATAGAGTGGGGCGGAGCAGTGACCAAAAAGCTCATTGCTTTTCAGTCGCTTCTAAGCATCCATTTTGTTAGTATAATTAAGTGAACTAGTCTTCTGAGTATGCGTGGATTCTTAGGGCGTAATAATGCTGACAAGCTTCAGCCCGTTTCAAATATTACTAGTTACGAAGAAGCGCTCTACCCTCCACGACCTTACCGTTACCACCTTCAGCAGGATTCAATTGTTCCTTCAACATCACTGACAGCTTCGCCATCTCCAAATGCGTCGCATTCTGCGTCCTCACCACCACCATTAGTAGTGTTACCCAGCATAGACGCTGATTCTATTTGTGAGCCCCATTCGCAGCAATCGCAGGCACAACAGCACCTCCAGACTCGACGACCCACGGGTACGATACCTGGAGCATCAGCCTCATCTGGTGCTGCTGTTAACAAGCGTCCACCTCCCTGTCTAAGCAAATTCTTCGATTGTTATGTTCCATCCCCATTAGAGATGGATGAACGAGCACTATTTGATGTTCTAGGGGGACCACAGTCAAGTTGGTGTGAGCCGTTGAACATCTTCCACTACACAAATCTCATATTTGAAGGCCCACCGTGCTTACGCGACAACGATGTAAAGCTTTCTGTAGGTAATCTTGCAGATAATAAAGGGATAGGTACTCGGCCGGACTCGTCCGTGACCATGGAGCGGCAGCAGACGGCTCTTTTGAGGTTCGCTGACGTGGCGCGTGTTCCACCAGAGTTGCGATCCTTCGTGATGGCGATTGGCACTGGCGGGCTCATTACGCTGCGTCCTGGGGCTGGTAAAAGTCATAGCAAAAACGATGCACTCAATGTTCTACGTATTCGAGCCTCTCGGCGGCCCCGGCCACCTCGCCCGATTCGCCGTGGTGCGAAGGTTATGCTGGATACGGATAATGCCGCCACGTCGATCAGTTCGCGTGTTGATGGCAGGTTCGGGAAGTTGACCGCCGACGGCGTAGCAGTTGGAAAGAAGAGACCTCGTAGTGGGGAGGAAGGACCGGATGGTAAAAATTTAGCGGACATGGAGCATGATAATGATAGCGACGATAGCCAGCACAGTGCCAATGTAGAGGAAGACGATGACGATGATGCAAATAACCTTTCAGATGGCTTCTATGCTGCGGATGATGATGATTACGGTGATAATGCCAAAGATGGTTTCAATGATGAAAATGACAATGATTTCTTTTAAATTTTCTGTGAATTTAGAAATTACGGTGAAGAAATTCAGGTGAAAATATAATTCATCCTATATGTAATCGAATTGCCTTCATCTAATCTCTCGGCGTTTGCATTTAACTCGATTAAGTGAATGATATTAAAAAGTATCTACTGTATAACTTAATACTGAACTTCACAAATGTTATTTCGATGGAATTTATGCATACCTAAATGCGTCTTCATATTTTTTCCCCCATTCATTATCTTTTCCTGTTGTTTCATCAAATAACATCATTTTTGTTGTCCTAATCTCCATAAGAATCCTTGTAATGTCAGCCAAGGTA